CTCAAAAGTCTATGGCATGACATGAATCTGGCATGTTTCGTGGACCGCTTGCTGCTCGATATCGGACCGGTCGTGTTTGGTCCGTGTCATGTCTGGATTACCTCGGATCAGTGGACTGCTGATGCAAATTCCCGATTTTTTTCAATTATTTTTGTGAACCAGGATGAGGAGAGTATTTATTGCATTGCTTAACGCTAAAGCTACCTAGCAATTGGAGTGACTTATCTCCAGTTTTTTATACAAATTAGAGTAATACGTTTCTTGAAATTTATAAGGTTCCCTACCGTTGTGCCTGTACAAATGCATGAATTTAACTTGAAACCTTTTGCAGAAACGCCTTCAAAATTTAAATGCTTGCGAAATAAAAATGCTGAATTGGGTCAATTTTACCCGTCCGGTAGTTTTAGCGTTTAATATAATTAACATCTTCTCGTGTAATATCGAGTCAGACCACTGACAAAAATTTTCAACCGAATTCGACAAAGCTAAACGTTTATTTATTTTTCATATAAATGAGATATTGCTTTGATATTATTATCGAATTCTTTTCTTTTTCTACTAAATTATTGACGATGAAGTAGTTCATGTGATTCTTATGAAAATTGTGACAATAGATTTTTGTTCGATTTCATCGTATATTCATTATAGTATTCAAGTGAAACTATTTTTAAAATCGTTTCGAATATTTAACACATTCCAAGTATCAGTAATTACGAAATAAGAAAAATAAAACCTGTGATTTTTATGTGGGCAGTAGTTATAGTGTTAAGTTATTTTTTGTGTTCAAAGTATAAAAGAAGAGTATACAAATATTGTTAGAAATATTACAAGTATAAAAGTATTTTTAAACATTCATTTTTTTAACTATTGTAACTATATTTTTACAAAAATTGTATAGATAACATCTTTTATATTAATGGGAAGAATCTTCGTTTGATGGAAATTTCTATTGAGACCATCGATATAACGCGACTTAATGATATTAGTAAATTAAAAGCATGCCTATGTGTTTATAATATTTAAAAAAAATTGTATTAAATGTTGAACTACATAAGGATACCAGCAACTTCAAACACAGAATTAATATTGTCCTTCATTTAGCGAAAACGTCGAATAAAATTGCAAGCTTCTCCACATACAATCTCTAATTATAAGAATGAACCTTTAAGAATACGAATTTATATACATAATCGTTCTATCGTAGAAAAAAAAACGTATTTCCATGATTCCCTAAAACTTTCTAAGAATTTCTATAACGCGCTTCATTAAATTGATTGAAACGCGGGTACTCACGTTACTCCGACATAGTTAGCAGATTACATTATTAGCAGATTACATTATCTATGCGGAAAGTTTCCGCACCGGCAGGCAGCGTCTTAATAATCCAGGAAATTGGAGACGATAGAAGTCATCTAAAGTCAACGTTCTCACGAAGTGTTCTGAACTGAAAAAAAAAGGGAAGGAGACCAGGGAAAAGAAAGGAAACGAAAAATGAGATCGGATCAAAGAAGTTCGCCATCAGGCAGATTGCTGATTTCAATTATCGAGGAAATTGAATGTCAGCACTGACCGGCATCGCTACTTCGAAATTTCAAGAGCAGACTTCTTCGGAAACACTTCACCTTCGTCCGTCTATTTTTCGATGCCACTTCAGTCGCCAGCTAAGCCTTTCGCTTTACCCATCGAAACGTTTCCGGCGACGAGATAAGTGTCTAGAAAATTGATTTATACGAGGTGCCGGTAATTGCCGGCGATATCCTACAAAAGAATGAATTCTTGTGTAATAATAAACAAAAGATTTCAAGCGACACTCTGTCGTAGTTTATTTCTTATTCGATGCAATCGACTTTGAACATCTTTGGCAACATATCTGTTCATTTTTTACCATTACTGCTTTCTGTAGGAACTCTCGATAGTTGGTAAATAAAGTTGCTAACTAAAGATAAATACGAGTATAATGAAGTTTAAAGGAACCTAAACTTCGATTACAATAATTAAAGATTAAGTACCATGATACGTTTCTAGTAAAACTAAATATTACATAATATTAATTACTATATCCATCCATGTAGTATTATATACACTAAAATAAAAAGATAAATTATTCAATTGTTAGATACAGTACAAGTCCTCGATTTATAAAGAGTGGTACTTGAAAAATTGAGTATCATGATTACATACGCCTATATTAAAATTAAGTATTACATACCATTAATTACTACATTCCTTCGTGTACGTTAAATTAAAATTTCGTCACACTACTATTACATGCGCTAAAAGAAAGAGATAAATAATCCAGTTATAACGTGCATCACAAGGCCCTCGATCATTAAAGAATGGTACCCGAGAACACACTAGAAGTCAAACCAACGACCAAATAAATCCAAAACAAATCAATCGATATCTCCTCCCACCGTGTCATTATTTTTAGCATACTCACGGAATAACCTGCTACTCCCACTCGCCATGCGCTCCTCGTCCCTTCAACGATTTCATTCACGTAGAGTCCATTCGCGAAAGAATGCTCGTGGTTCACGCGATAACGTCGATCGCCGGTTTGCATAACGCGGCGAGCATTGGCTAGTATAATCTCTGTGCAACGGCGGTTTTTGCCGGTCACACAGATTGTCCGTGGTCGTTCCGCCAGGACCCGTTCTATCCGCGCTCAATAGCCCGTTAATATGTCATTAGCCCAGCCGAGATGACTAAATCAGCGAACACAACCGGCCTCCCGCTCGCTCGCGCAAACGCTGTTCCGCCGACCGATTACGCCCGGAATCTAATTCCCTTGTGTTACTTGTGTTACGAGGCGAGTTGTCGGCCTCTCTCGTCGAATATCTCGCCGTTTGTCTCGCAGGTCTATATAATGTTTTATATAGCTTTATATAGTTTTATACGGTTCTATCTATAGTTCTATGTAATCTTATACAGTTCTATATAGCGTTTTATATAGTTTTATACCGTTCTGTGTATAGTTCTATGTAATCTTATACGATTCTATATATTGTTTTATATAGCTTTATATAGTTTGATATTGTTTAATATTGTTTGATATAGTTGAATATAGTTGAATAAAGTTTTATATTGTTTAATATAGTTGAATATAGTTCTATATAGTTTCATATTGTTTTATATAGTTGAATATAGTTTTGTATAGATGATCTCTTTTAGACTGTCAAATATCTATATTTCCAATTGTCTTTATTAGTCTACTAATTCTTGCACAGAGACCTATTTAATTGTTCTTATCGTGTTCCTTAATTTACCTGTGATTCCTCGTTAAGTTAGTCCCAAGAAATATCATCTGTATCTCATCAGAAAATGTTAACCCCTTGCTCTATGATTTATTTCTTAACCATGACCGATACAACTACTTTATCAACTTATTAGAAAAAGAAACACTTTTCATGCTTATTCTATGTCCACGTTTACTCCAAAGGTTAACGACTGACAATAGATAAGTATTATTTCCTTTATATTAGAGAAAAATATAAATGACACTTAGCTTTCTCAAATCCAGTTTAAAATTTTCCTCGCGAATCCGACACGATGTTGTAGGTCGAGGGGTTAAATACTTCTAATGAAAAACTTTCGGGATACAAAGGGTTAATGAGTATAAGCAGTGTTATGGATTATCACAAAAAAGAAAAGTTTCCAGAGTTCTATTTATTCGATCCTTTTTCTTCCTGGAACTCTGCGGTGCACGATACCGAAGTTTGACCATCTATTTCCTTAACACCCTGTATATCGGTCGGGTAGTTCGAAAGTTCGATAGATTGCTTCGGTGTACCGTTAAAATGGGTTCCCTAACTCGGCCAAAATGGGGAAAGTGGGATTGAGCGCAGTTCACCTGCTTCGGGGATCGTTAATTGTTTCGGGTTGCTCTTGTGTTTTTGCCGAATCGCCCGGGGATTTCGATACCGGATCGAAGTATGGAGATTGCGATTGAAAGGGGTGGGATTGCCAAACACTGGGGACCGTGTTCTGTTTGTTGTTTGCAGTTGGTCGTTTGTAGCTACGAGTAGTTTTTCATGGCAGTTTTTGTAACTATATTAACCCTTGAATGCGGAATTTCTTTAATAAATAGTGGGACGTTTGAAAATTGCTGATTCCTATGTTAGGGGGCAATAGAAGCATTAACTGAAATATCGAAATCACTTTTGTTTATTCGAAAAAGAAATTCTTTGTAAAATGATTGTTACATTTTGACATATCTGACGCAATTGTATTTTTTGTTGAAACACAACAAGGCTCCAAATATAAGAATATAAGCGATAGGTGTATTGTGAAATGAAAGTTCTATACATTTAAGGGTTAACACTGATTTTTATAGTTACATTGACACTGAATCGTTTTTACAATAAAATGACTACTAATTTTGTAATTGCATTATATCCAGTAAAACAGAATAACAGGATTTTTCTATTATTAGTTTCGACAAATTACTAACGCAGTTTTGTGATTTATTATTCATAATCTTGACCACGAAGAATGTATTGATCCCGATGTGTTATTCACATATCAAGTGTATAAAAGAAAACAAAGTAACATAAATTGAAAAAAGTGAAAAATTTGTTGTTTATCCTTTTTGATTCCATAAATATTCATTTCTCGCCATAAAAATGAGTTTTGTTTACAAATTACGTAGTGCTCCATATTAGGAGTCATTTTTTCAACTGTTTTTGACTTTTACTTACCTTTTTTATTGTGGTTTGAAGACACTTAAATTTTTGCATTATTATCGATCAGCGTACGAATGTTTGTTAATTTTTTCGTATTTTGATGCAAGTTTCATTGAAAAAAATGCATATCTCTCGTTTTGACAAGCTTTACAAATCAGGTGTTCCATATTAGGTGCCGTTATCCTATAGCTGCGGTAGCTGAACATTTCTCGAATAAAACGAATAAAAAGACGCGTGAAAAATTTCGAGAGAGTATACGAGTGACGCCGGAGGAAAGTCAACTCGTAGCGGCGTAGTGTTTCACGCGTGCTGAATTTCACCGTGGTTTCTGCATTGCAGGCGGTGTCGGAGAGGCTCGAGTTGGCACCAGCTGGAGGAAGATCAGAGCCTCAGGTGAGTACCACTTGAAGATTCGCGTTTCCTTTTCCTTGCGAATGTCATTGAGCCTCGCGATTTTAAGTCGAATTTACACTTTACACTTTGAATGTGAATTGTAGATGATTCATTCGAGGTGTAAATATTGTTCTCATCTCTGTTTCAGAGCTGAAATGAACATCCATTGTGGCTAATAAAGAAAATAAAGTCAATTTCTATTAAGTTTGGGTAAAAGTTTCATTGTTTTTCTTTGTTGAGATGTTTGTATGATAATGCAAAAATAAAAGTTTTATGATAAATATCTATTAAAATAATATTATAATAACACTAAGGTACTAGAATATGTCATATGGAGTTGGTTAACATGTTTTATCACCGTTTTCTATGAGCAGAAGTTCTAAATAAATAATTACGTGTAGTAGAATTATTGCAGACTTTTTAAGTACGAAGGTAGTAACATATATAATTATTAAACTGCAGATTTTGTCATATTCAAATTCTGCAAAGAAGAAATCAGTTTCTGGTTAAGCCTTGGTGCATTATATTATTTTCAGACGCTTTTATTTTGAATAAAGATCCTATGTCTAATAATTGTATTATTCAACGAAAGTTTTAATAATAAAAAAATTCTTTAAATGTTTAAAATGGCAGTGTACACCGTTTGGCTTCTGAATTCTTCATGTAAAGCCAGTCTTTGGCCAAATCGATTAACTTTACAAAATAGAAAGTAGAGAAAAGTGATGCAATAGTGTACATTAATCCTTCAACTTTCTCTTTAAATGGAATTTCAAGTAAATATAGTAGAATACATCTTAGTTCGTTATTACAAGTGCAACTTGCATCTAACGATTATACGAAATGCATAAAATTCTATATTCTTAAACTAATCTTATCATCATTGCAATGTCTATGTGGTCAAAAGAATGTTTCCACCTTCCTGACACTAAACGCAGTAATACAGAAATCTATTTTAAATATTACAAATTAGAAGTCAATCAACTATTTCGAGAACGATACAATTTTTGACAAATTCGAAAAGCACGGTTAACCCTTGCCCTCTGATTTATTTCTTAACTATGATCAATACTTACACAGTATTAAGCAACAATTTAATTAGTACGTAAAAAGTTACTTTATCGTGAATAATTTATAATCTATATCTACGTTTACTTAAAAGATTAACGATTGATAATAGAAAAGCAATACTTACATTTAAAATAAAACAAATAACACTTAGATTTGTCAAATACAGTTTCAAATTTTTGTCGCAAGTCTGACACGATATTATAGGTTAAAGGGTTAATCAACCCCTAAAGGTTGACGTGGTGAAGATTTCAAATAGAATTTAACATACATAAATGTCAGTTAGCAATTTCAAGACTGAGTTGAATGTTATTTTTCTGTTATTTATTGTAATGCTTTCTAATGAATTATGAACATTAAATTAGCTCTGCTGGGAAAGAGATCATAGGACAAAGGGTTAATTAACCATCGAGTGGCTCCCATAATCAATTCTCCTTCCATCTTTCGCATTCGATGAGAAAGAATCATCTGAAAATGCACGTTCAAAGCGCGACTGTGCGAGTTCGACTTTACATTGTGACTGTTCACCGGATCTTCGCGACACGTCTGAGATCGTTTCCGCTCGAAACAGCTCCGCATCGATTCACCGGCTAATTTTCTTCCCTTCTGTGTCGAGGGGAGGGAGACACTAACGAGGCTGAAGCTCGAATCGTTCGACCTCGATTTTATCGCGGCTTTGTATTATAGAATGTTAACGCGCTGCTGTCTCCTAATAACATCGATAATGGATCAATGGGACCGCGATTAATTTGCACGTGAAATGCTCGGATGATTGAATGCTAAAACGAAGACAACGATGGGCGGTGTTTATAAATAATTTGAACGAATTTGTGGTCGCACGAGCGAGCGGATTTAAGAGAAGAAAATCAAACAGAACATTCTGTTCTACAACGTTTAAATAACAAATAAGGGCGTGATTTGTTTTCAATGCATTTAATTATATTTTACTTATGGGATATTTGAATGTTTTAAAATCTAACAATGAATAGAAAAAAGAATATTCAGTGAATCTTTTCGTGGGAATAATTTCTTTTCGATTGTTAATATTGATATTTTGTTTGCGATCATTTAAAGGAAAATTATCGAGTCTCTTTTCAGTATAGAAATATCATTGAGAAATAATTCTATGTGAAGGTTAATCGTTTAATGTAAATATGATATTAATATGAATGTTTAATTTGTTGATATTTTCGTGGAAAAATGAATTCTGTGTTTGGTATAAATGTGCGTTCATTTTAAGGACTGAATATTGATAATAACAGGAAGGAAACAGGAGCATTTCACTTTGACCTAAAAGAAACAAATAAAATTCAGCCTGAAATTTGCATAACGAGTCTAACTCGAGATTCTAACGCAAAGGGTTAATGGACTCGTAGTAGGCGAAGTGTCAACTTGCAAATTGTTATGTCCTCATTTGGATACCACGCATACTTAATGCAATCAATTCTTTTTATATCTATTCTGTTTGTATCTTTTATTTACATTTTCTATTTATATCTATTAGCTCCTGGTTTATGTCCGTTTACTTTCACGGAGAAAATAATACTTTTACTTAAACAGAGACAAGTTCACTCTCAAAAACTAATAGATTTTTCACTATTTTAAGCAAGACAAATAATATGTCTTAACATTATCAATTCTATTTACTATTCTATTTATATTCATTCACTTCTAATTTATAGAATTTACGTATTTCCAAAAAACCAATATTTGTACTAAAATAAAACCAAAATACAGTACCAACCCCCAACAACTAACACCTTCTCATTATTTCGACTATTCTACTTCAATTTATTTCCATTCAATTTATATACACAATTCCTTTATCCTTCCATCATTATTAAAGTACAAATCTTCAACATCTAAACACCTTTCTACTATTTTAACCATTCTATTTTTCTCTATTTACTTCTAATTCATACGATTCATTTATTTTCCCAATGTTATTCGAATAAAAAATCTCCACCACCAACCCCCAAAAACATATTTCCCACTCCAAACAAAATAAATAACACATTTCTAACCAATTAGCTGTTACCACACTCTCTGAAAACTGTGTACATAAAATATTCCGCGAAACATAGGTTACAGCTGTTTTGACGAGTATACTCGTCATAACGCGAAACCTTGCCGTTTCTCCATAACGAGTATACTCGTAAAAAATAGCTACCCAGTTACTATGCACACAGTGCTCTGAAAAAAAAACCTTTCCCTTAGTCGTTCCACAAAGAAAAATCTCATCCCCCCCGATTCAATAAAAGACCATCAACCCGAAAAATCCTCGGCAGTCGGGTAACTCCAGTATTCCTCGCGAATCATTTTTTCCCGTCCGCGAGGATAACACTCGGGGGATTTTCCTGTTCAGACCGATGGCGGAGCCCGGTGAAAAGGTCGTGTCGCGAAGTTTGAAGATTTATCGCGTTCCGGGAGCGTCTCGTCGTTTATTTCGCGCGGGATATCGGTAGACTGACAGCGAGTAAAGGGGGCCCGCTGTGATTTTATGCGAAATCCGTTTATGCGAAGGTTGCGACATTATGCGAGGCCGGCGAGGTGTATCTGGCGCAGCACATGGGCGAGCAGGGTCGCTGGGTATCCTCTGTGGACAAGAAGAGCTGCATGACGGACAAACTGGAGATCCTCGAATATTGCAAGAAGGTAAGCGATACTTCCAGTTCGTGTGGTAACCTCTTTAACACGTTCACCGCCACGAAAAACATGACCGTTTTATGTATCGTTTATTCTTTTGTGGCGAAGATAGGAAGAAACGGTTATCAATTACTTAGTACCACAATTCTTAGGTTACACTATTATCTACTTGTTTACGGTATGGAATATTTTTACTTGGTGTCAGTTATCTTATGAGTTATAATTGTTCTCGAGTAATTTGCAAATCCGTGACCACCGTGGCAACGTGTCAACCAATAAAATATTGACTGAGGATTTTTAACGTTTTGTGTTATATTGTTGTTTCATAATGAGGATAAATGTTATTCTTGACAAACGGTATTATTCAATATTAGTCAAAACTTAGAATTACGTTGTTCAACGCAAAATAAAATTAAATAACTTATTGTTACTACGTTGTGCAAGCCAGCTACTGTGTATGTGAATTTTTATACTACAATTTAGAAAAACAGTTTGACGAATCAATTAAAAATATTTAGATCAATCGATTTGATCAATCTGAAAGGATTTGTAGAAACGATTCGCTCGACGGGGAACATAAATTGATGAAGGAATTAAAAAATGCTTTATTATGTATTCGTATCTGGACTCCATAATATACGTGTCTTTTAATTAAATTATAAATGACGATGATTAATCCGAGCGAGTATATCCGCTCTCCCCGCTTTAGGGGTTTAATACGTTCAACATGTCGCCGGTCCCTATGGACCGACACTAAATATTCCGTTTAGACAGCATCGGTCCCTAATGACCAACAGCATTAAATTTGAAGAATATTGCTTCGTATAAAAATATTATTATTAATGTTAACATCTGCACGACAGCCTAAAGAAACCGTGACCCTTTCCATGAATTTTAATTGAACAGATTCAACAGACTTTATTAAAAATCGTGTTTCACAAAAGTAAGAAAGGTATTTATTGAATTGAAAACGTCCTTAGCTGAAGACTAAATAACAAAAGAAAAAAATAAACAAAATAAAAGTGGGTCTCCCCATTTAGTTAATTAGGTGTTGAGATATTTCATAATTTATATAATATTAAAAAATATATTCAGGTCCTTTGTAATAGGCTTCAAAGCGTCCTTTCAAATCTTCTTCTTTTACATACATACGCAGTTCCAGATTTTACGTACCGTCTGAGGGGTGGGGGCAAAGCAAAAGGAGGTCCGCGTTTAGCGTGTTAATTAAAATCCTCCCACGACATCCGACATCCGACAGTCGCGCAACGGTGTGTTAGGACGAGATTGTATTGCGCCATGGGGAAACCAATTTCATTTTCTTCTACGGTATTGTTCATTTTGATGAAGTATTTGGATTGATATGTTTGTAGCGTGACTTTATTAAATTCGATTATTTTGATTTTATTATGCTTAATAGTTACGCGAGGATACTATCTATTAATTGATAATAGTAAGAATTTATATTGTACCGTTTGATATAATTATTCTGTCGATACTTTCATTTCTGATTTAAATAACTGAATGACGTGAAGCTTCATTTGTTTTTATCCGTGGAATTTGTCGTTGATTCTATTTTTAATAACGAGGTTCCGTGGATTATGATATAATAATTGATATACCATCTACTTTTTCAACAGATATTTTATTTTTTTATATCCTAAACGCGATACATATTCCCAAAAATTTGTAAATTGACTATTAAAGATACTTTCTGCTGCTTTATAATAAACCTACAGAGATATAAATTTCAATTTTCAAATATTCTTTCTAATTTTCAAATCTAAGAAGGTGATAAGAAGTAGATGGCCCACTTTTTTAAAAGGAACTATTGCATCAGAAATATTATTGGTACCTAATAAAAAATAAAATATATTTATGAAAATAAATGTACGTTCTATGGTTCTTAGATATATGAATATTCGTTCATTTAGATCTTACAAGTTGAAGGTGTGAAAATAGATAAATTACATACATATCTGCGTAACTGTATCAATCAAAATGGACTCAAACATTTACAAAATAATGTTCATACAATTCAATATGAGTCAAATAAACTCATTTAATAAATCTAGCGTTAACGCTTTGCACTCGCCACTTAATCCGACATAACAAAATCATACAGTCTTACTTATAATATTAAGCTTTATATAATTCATGAAATATGCAACATTCAATATTCAATATTCAATATTCAAATAAATTAAACAAACTTCATTCCTTAATTTATGTATGTTCCCTCATTTGTTTTAAAAAATATCGCCTACGTTCACCAGAGAATCTCGAATATTTTCAGTGATAAACCATCGAGCGCAAAGGGTTAATGAGATCGGGACATCTCAACCGGAATTACCCTATCCCTCCGAATCGCTGAAAATCAAACGCCAAGCGTGTCGTCGCGTTCGCCCATTGAGCACGGCCGCGAAGCGAACAAGTTCGTAAAAATGTTAAATCGACTACGTACGAATGTCTCTGCACGCAATTGCGCAACGCGCGATCGTGTTCCCGTAGCTCGCGGCAGGTTACAAAGGGTTACGAAGGTTTTGTCTCTCTGTGCGCTCGGTGGAACGCGAATGTTTCACGTCGTAGAATCCGAAGCCTCGACGGGAGAGTGGTTTTCGATTCACTGACACGGATCCGGGGTCCCCTGGTCTCTCCGTGCATAAAGTGACTCGCGTGTCGTTGATGCATGCCCTTGCATTATCGGGTGAAAGGCGCGCGCCGATCGTTCGCGAGCATCGAAATTAACGATGCGACTGCACACGTGCATGCACGCCGAATATATTGTACGCGTGCGACGCGACGGACCGATTAACCTGTTTGGGATCAGGGTTCTCTTTTTTAACAGACTCGCTACCTGCGTTTGTTTTAGTAGTGATCTTCGCGGTTAAAATATTTCGTAGTATTATAATATCTTACAGATTTCGTAATGTTATAATCATATATTATGTATTTGATAATACTGGGTCGATGCAAAAGTTTTTACAGTCTTTTTAGAAGAAAGAAAGAGAAGAGTTTTTTAATATTTTCAGTGACTTCGTTCGCGATTTACATTTGTTTCAATAGTAATTTTCATAGTTGCAATATTTCGTAATTTTATGATAATGCATTACATGTTTAATAATATTTGATTGATGCAGTAGTTTTCATATTTTAAAATAAAAAAAGATTGTTTCAAATATTTAGAGATTCTTTCAGCGTAAATTCTATATTTAGATTATCGATAATAAAATCTATATTTTAGAATCTTTATTACCTCTATACCTGTTCCATATTTACAATCTCAATAATAAGATCATTCCTTCGAAAAAGGTATTTTTTTATTTAAAGTAATCAGATCATAGAATATTAAGGTTATTACCCAATAACGATTGACGTTGCACAGCTTCACCAAGCTTTCGAATCTTTCACTGGAAAATCATTTTAACCTGCTTGTTTTAATCGATTTTTTCAATAATCACCGAACGACATAACGAATACACATTGGTTTTTAAAATACGTATGGATGTCCTGAGTGACGTTTACTTCCGCTCTAAAATATTAATATTTGCATTTACTTTTAATCAGCGCTGCATCAGCCGTTGTTTTTAGTGATCGCTTCATATCTCGCGGGATATTTTTCGATTTCTCTTCTTCGAAAAATTTTTGGCGTTTAATTGGTTGGCGCAACCTCGGGGAAATACGATGCACACGATACGAGTTCGCAATTGTAACTGTTTAATCATTTATTTTTCGTTTGAGCTTTTCTTTGATTCACCTTCATCACGGTGAAAGGAAATTCTTTTGTGATTCGCTAATGCCGGTTTTTAAAAGAATTAAAAGAACGAATTAAAACACTTGGGAACTGACACCGCGTCCACCATTTTCCCTTGACCTTGTACCAAACGAATACAGTGAAGATTGGATAATTGCAACACTCGACGGAACCGGAAGGTTGCAATTATGGAGAGGTTGATCCGAATCCACCCCAAGGAACGAAGATTTTAGCATGGTGGACGTAAAAAACAGTTCAGCAACATTAACACTAAGACTACCGAGCAGTTAGATTGACTTTTTAAAATTCCCCTATAAAAACTCGAAGACTGCATCTAGTCAGAGTCTAGTTGATTTGCTCTTAAGCTTGCGCATTGCCAAATCAGTTTCTTTAATAATTGCTCAGAAAAACATCTGTTATCTTTTGTATAATTGCAAGAAGGGGATATCAGAAATGGGTTATTTTTACCTGTCTGATGGTCTTAGTGTTAAAAACTCGCGATGAGCTTGGAATCTTTAAAACTAAACCTACCAGACGAGTCAGAATGACCCATTCCTGATTTCTTCTTTTTTGCAATTATTAAAAAGATAACAGATATTTCTCTGAGAAATTATTGAAGAAATCGATTTAGCAATACGTAAACTGAATTGTAACTGAATTACAGTCTCGATAGATGTACCTTTGAAGTTGCTGTAGAGGAATTTCAAAAGGTCAATTTAACTGCTCGGTAGGTTTAGTGTTAATTCAAAAATCAAACTTCTTTATTTTCTCCTCTGATGAATGAAACATGCGATAACAAGCGATTGAAGTTTCGGATATATAAAATAGTTGGATCATGTTACACCATTCAACCGTGGTCGGTTGTCGAGCATTATGGTGTGTTAAAAAGAACATGGTGATGAGGACGATGTTGCAATCATTCAGTGTTTACTGTATCATTTATTCCGATGAACGTAGCATGGTTTAATACATAAACAGTATGATAATCAGTGACGACATTTATAGGTCTATCCAAAGAGAGACATCACTAACATCGTTGAGTCTTCGCACTACGTAAGGGTCAATGGATGGTGTAAGCCAGGAAGAACCAAATGCAAATTATCTCGTTGGGTCAAGCCGTACAGATGTCTCGGTATGTATAAAGGAAAATGATTTGTCACAGATCTATTACCAAAACTCTGCGAATTCAATACTGTTAACCTGTTCACTGTGAGATTTAGTTTCAAAAGTTTCTCGGTTTACGCGCGATGAAGACAAAAAATGACGCGCATACACGTTAAACGCACTGAACTAGTTAACACTAAAACCACCATGCAGTGCAATTGACATTTCGACATTTTCCAAAATAAAAAGCTCAAATCTCTCAAAAAGCCAGCACCAACCGTTTTTGAAAAGTTTTACTTCGCAGTCTTGTGGACATGAAAGAGCAATGTATTTTTGTTTAAATATTCCTTCTCTGTCTCTTACCGTTCTCAGAATAATCCACAGGGAAGAAAAATTTGCATTTTTTTCAAGGGGTGGTTTCATCCCTCAAAGTGGAATTCGACACGAAAAAAGAACTTCAATGTACTACGCCTGACTTACTCTATTTAAACACAAAGTTTCATAATTTTTTGAATTTCCGAGTTGCATAACTTCCCTTGTACGAGAAATTTATCATCTAACCCTTTCCACTGTATCCAGTTATTTGGTTACGATAGAAATTAGTATGTACAAAGTGTCAGTATAGTCAGTGTTAATGTACATTCCGAATATATTTATTAATTTATTAATAATAATTATAAGCTAATCAAGATCTCGATAAACGTACCACGGTAACTTGTACGATAAAAACAGACCAGTCGATTCTACTGCTCGGCAGTTTGAACGTTAACATCGCACGATTCCGCGTGGTGTGCCTGTGTAACGCGAACTGGAAATCGTGGCTGTATCGAATGCACGTACTTATACTTACTAAACGCATCAACTTTTTGTACCAGCAGCCATTCACCGTTCTAATTAAGAGTATGTTTGAACCGTTTGCGCGAAACTCGGGTTACGATCGCACACTTTAACGAGGGCGAACCATTCTGCACTTCCATCGAATGACTCTTTAACAGCGTCATCGACGCCATTCAATAATCAGTCATTACCGCATCGCGGGCGAGGTCTTCGTTTATTTTAAGAACTACGGGGGCCTCTAATTACCTCTCTCGCGTTGCAATTTCGCTAACAGGTTCACCCTAACACTCGGTTCCTCCTTTTCCCGGGAAAATTATCAGACGACTTCAGTCACTTCTGATTGGCTCCCTTTGTTTTGTTATGTGTAAAGTGAATTTATGATAACGGAGGAAAATGTTAAGACTGAAAGAAATTGAGGAGAATGAAAGAAAATGCGAATGTAGAACAAGCTAATGGTAATGGAGGAAAATTTTGGTTGGAAAGAAATGGATGGTGTCCGAAGAAAATTTTGTGTTCAAAGCGAATTGAGGATAACGAAAGAAAATGGGAATTTAGAATGTATTGATGTTAATGGAAGAAACTTTTTATTAGAAAGATATTAATTGTAATGTGGGAAAATTTGAAAATTTTTTAAAATTATTCGTAATAAAAGAAATTGTAGAATCTATAGTAAATAATCTAAAATATATTGATGACGATGAGAAATATTTTGTAAAAATAGATTTTTAAGGAAATTTATTGTTGGAAATTTTTAGTTATATTGTAATCAACGAAAGTGTGTTTAGTGAAGAAAATTTTTTGAAGGGAATATTTAACCACGGTGGCGTTGTTTAGAATTTTTTTTAATTCTCCTGTGTTAGTCCCTGCGAAAAATTTTGCTTGTTCTATGTTGATTTCTTTTTAACGTACTGCATCAGACATGGGACTTCTGATCCCAACGGGAATAATCAGAGAGAAATTCTGGAAAAATATCCGGAACAATGTAGTTATCGATGAACGCACTATGAAATTTGACCATTTTTTTGCGGATGAAAGTATTTTTCTTAATATTAAATGATTTCTCACTCGTACAGTTTGTTGTAAAAAATATTGATTCTTTTATTTGACCAATACAAATATGTATTATTTAACAAAAAGCTATGTGTTTAACTCTAGGACCGCCAAATATTTAAAATCATCAAAGAAATTGTAAAAATTTATTGTTTGAAGTTTGTATGCAATATTCGTTGTAACGTTTCAATAAGAATATTAATTTTCAAACTGTTATTGAACAGAAACATCTGTATAGTTTTAATAATTGTAAAATAAGAAGTCAACAAATAAAATCTAATACTAATAATTTTAACAGATGTGATAGTTCTAGTCACATTTTCCAAAACATTCGACTCGTAAGAAATTAATAAAAATTGAGAATTATCTAAAAATAAAATTCAATGCGTACTAATCACTTTGACGAATGTGATCCACTGACATTTTCTAACAGTAAAATCTATTAGATGCATTCGACTCATAAGGAATATCTACGAATGATATTCAGTACATATTAATAATTGTTACAATGCATTAAATTTATAAAGAGTTTTATAAAAATTAAAAATGATCTAAAAATAAAATTTAATAGGTACCAACCATTTTGACGAACGTGATAGTTCCAGTGGCATTTTCCGAAGTTTGATAAAAACTGAAAATCATCAGTTCCATGGCGCATCCTCTTTTTCAACCCCATAAAACGCATAAACCAGATGCGAGTGCCGCCTTAGACTCTTTCACGAGTTTGCGTTCAATCCCAGCAGAGTGACTCTGATTTGCAGTTTCTGCCGTATTGATTCTTCGGGCTGTCGAGTGCAGCGTATAGCGGCAGAGAGCTCGTATTAAGGGGTTGAGTAGACACACTGGTCTACAGGGTGTCCCGAAATTGTCCATTGAAACTTCGCGCGCACGCAGTTGGATTACTTAATCAATCGAAACACTAATTGAAAACTGTCGAACGTACAGTACAGTTAGAGACGTAGTTCGAATTGGAAAGCTTTCAAGTATACACAGGGTGCCCCTAAAATATCTGATTAAACTCTGTGTATTACATTGTATCATTCAAATAATCCAAACACGAGTCAAAAATCAGATAAACTCAAAATAAACACTAAGAAACATTGCC